ACCCACGCCGCCGCCCGCGACTGGCGAAAGTGCGGCGGCGAGGGGCGGGGGATGCGCGGCGGCGGGCGGGCCCCCGGCTGGTGGCAGCTCTGCTGGCGAGGCTGCGCGGGACCACGCCTCCGCCTCCGCCTACTCCGCACGCACCGCGGTGGAGACGCGCTGCACAGCGGCGGGAGGTCTCGCGCCAGCCTCCGCCTCCGCCGCCAGCGCCGTCGCCTCCGCCACCTGATCCGACTCGCCCCGCGATCAATGACGGCAGGCGAGGCATTCGCTCGCTAACTAACTAGCCACCTTAGCCAGCTCGGCCGCAAGCTGCGCCGCCCTCGCCGCCTCCGCCGCCCTCTCCTCTTCCACCGCTAGCGACGCTTCGGCCCGCGCCTGCTTCACCGCCTTCTCCACCGCTGTCTGCACCTCGACCGCCGCCCGCTCCCTCGCCTCCGCCACCGCCGCCGCCGTCGCCTCTGCCATCGCCCGCCGCGCCTCCGCCACCACCTCCGCCACTGCGCCCGCCACCGCGCCCGCCACCGCCGCCGCGGCCGCCTCCCGCCCCTCCTCCCGCCCCTCCTCCCTCTGCCTCCGCGCCTCCTCCCGCCCCTCCGCCGCCGCCTCCGCCGCCGCCTCCCTCCCCGCCTCCCTCGCCGCCTCCCTTGCCGCCTCTGCCGCGGCGGCACCGGCGGCGGCGGCAGCGTCTCTCTGCGCCGCCTCCGCCCCCTCCTTCTCCGCCGCCATCCCCGCGGAGGCCTCCGCTACAAGCGCGCGGACCTCGCCCCGCGCCGCCGCCGTCATCGCGGCCAAGTCAGCGCACGCCCTCTCCACCGCCGCCTGCAGACTCCTCGCCGCCGCCGCCCCCCGCGCCTCCTCCTCCTCCCCGCCCGCTGCACTCTTTGTGGTCGACCCGACCGATGCTGCAGCTGCCGCGGCAGCAGCGCCTGCCTTGCCGGCGGCATCCGCCTTCTCCGCCTTCTCCGCCTTCTCCGCCTTCTCGCCCTTCTCCGCCGGCTTTGCCTTCTCGCCCTTCTCCGCCTTCTCCGCCGTCTCCGCCTTCTCGCCCTTCTCCGCCTCTCCTTCCGTCGAGTCACGAGTGGGCTCCTACGCGAGACGGCTCCGGGAAGGTTCAGAGAAACTTCCGCCGAGCTCGAGCCGCGCCGCTCTCTCTCTTGCCGCCTCTGATGCCGTCGCCTGCTCTGCCACCGCACCCGCCGCCGCCGGAGCTGCCACCGCCGGCCCCGCCGCCGCCGAGGCTGTCGCCGCCGCCATCGCCGCTGGAGCCGCGAAGGCAGCAGGAGCAGAGACGGCAGCGGCGCCACCAGCAGCCGAGACGGCGGCGGAGGGGTGCGCTGTCGCGGGGGGCGTCGGGCGCGGCCCAGTCGGTGGCCGAGCCACCGCCGGGGATCGCCCGGGCTGGTACGGCCCGCGGGGAGCAGCCGCACGAGGCGGCCCTGCGGCTGGCGCTGCCGGTCGAGCGCCCGCGGGTGGAGAGTTGGCAACTCGCATCGGCTGGGCAGCCGCAGGCCGGAGGGCAGGCGGAGGAGGGTGGCTCGCCGGCCGCGGGCCGGAAGGAGGCTGGCTCACCGGCCGAGGACCCGATGGAGGCACGCTCGCTGGGCGCGGCCGGGACGGTGGCTGACTCACGAGCCGCGGGCCAGAGGGTGGCTGGGTGAGCGGCGGCCGAGGCGCGAGCATCGCGCGCGGCGCCGCGCCGGGCGTCGAGGGCGCAAAGGGCCTCGGACCGGGCGGAGGGTGGCCGGCAGGACGGAGCGGAGCGCGGGGCGCCGTCGAGGGCCGCTGCTGCCGCCTCATCCTGCGCTGCCACCGGTGCGCGCCGGCTTAAGGTTGCTCCCGGCCCAGTGGGGATTTTGGCCTACTCAGTGATCGTCTAAGGGGCGCTAACTGGCTGCAATGCCTATCTTTTGTGCCTAGCTTGTAGAGCACCTTAAAAAAGTACTTTGTCTTGGAGTGAAAAGTTTTTCGATGAGGTGGGGATCCGTGGTGAGCCGATTCCCAGATTCTCCAGATTCCCCCTCGAAAACCGCGCCTTTTAATTCACTGCGGCCGCGGGCTTTCTCGGATTACTTTTCACTCGAAGACAAAGTAGTTTTTTGTTGGAACGGTGCCTACAAAAAATATCCGGGATCATATGGAGCTGACCACGGGGTTTGCGGCGATCACTGTCCTACCAGCGGGCACATATGGCCGCGGACACCCGTGAATGACCTTAAGGCTCTCCGGGCACACGAGGACACATGGCGGAAACGTCTGCCCACTGTCCGCGCAGGTGTGCGGCGCACGTCGAGAGCGACGGCAGGGCGTGCTCCTGCTCTGGTTCCGTGCTATAGAGCCTGCTGTATACTTGATGCAGAGCTTTCCGACGTCATTGTGTTTGCCGCTCCGCGCTCGACGCCCGCCGCCGCGCGCGCCCGCGCGCCACCCCTTTTGCGCAGCAACACCTTAAATTTCATGGCCCTCCAAATTCGGGTCGGAGCGTAGCGGAGTGCGAGTGGGCCCCGAGTTTGAAAACGGCGACGGACGCTTGCGTCCTAGCCGCCAACAACGTCTCCCCGGCGCAGAGGGGCCCACGGAGGGACGCTCAACCGCTCCACGCCACGCCGCTTGCGGCGGTCCTATTCCACGCTCGCCCAGTTCTTAGTGCCAGTGCGAGCCAGTCCCGTGCCCAGTGTTGTGCGAGGCAGAGGGCGCTTTGTTGTACTTGGAGCACTTGTAAAATTCTTATTCTCTAAGTGCCTCGCCGTCCTCGCCGGAGTCGCTTAGGCGGCTCCAGTGGTGTACCTGTGTTAGTGCCAGTGCGCGCCAGTCCCGTGCCCAGTCCTGTGCCCAGTGTTGTGCGAGGGTTTCGCTGTTAAAATTCTTATTCTCTTTCCGGTGGTCGGGAAGCTAATTAGCCCCTGCCCCTGCCCCTACCTACCTACCTACCTACCTACCTACCTACTTATGGGAAACTAAAAAAGAAATCACTCGATGGGTGAAGGTGGGGTACTATACCAACTGAAGTGATGGTTGGTGGTACTCTCATGCAACCACAAGTCCTTCCTGTGACATGGCAGGCCACTCTCAAGCCCTACAGCTACACGCACTCTCTCTCTCTCCAGATCACCCATTTGGGGAGGGTAAAGAAAGAAAACAGACAAACCAAACGAGGGATGGGAGAGGACAAGGTCCCCACCTGCACGAGCATCGAGCAGGATTTTGGAAGGACGATCAGGGACACGGGGGAACGGGAGTGGGGAGCGCATCGCGACACGGAGGGGGGCTGGGCAGGGTTCCACGATTTGGGGAGGGTTGACATCGTGATTTTCGACGAAAGTTTCTTTTTCTGATGTGAAACTCCAGCGTGTGAAGAGAGGGGGACACCCAACGCTGGAAACTCCGTCGTGAGAGCCTTCTCCCTTCTATTCTTTTCACAGTGCGCGCCAGTCCCTGCGAGCCATACCACTCTGGAAATCTTTCAACCGTGCAAGATGTTCACGGGACGACCGCGATATGGAGGTTGCTGCGAGAACTCTGGCGAGAGACTGCGAACGTGCGAAGAGAAAATACCTACGGGCAATTTTCTTTAAGATGGCCTGCAATGCCATATCTGTTGTGCCTAGCTTGTAGAGCACCTTAAAAAAGTACTATGTCTTGGAGTGAAAATTTATTGGACGAGGTGGGGATCCGTGGTGAGCAGATTCCCAGATTCTCCAGATTCCTCCTCGAAAACCGCCCATTTTAATTCATTGCGGCCGCGGGTTTGCTCGGATTACTTTTCACTCGAAAACATACTAGTTTTTTGGCGTTCCGGTGCCTACAAAAAATATCCGAGATCATATGGAGCTGACTTGGGCTCAACCAGGTTTTCCTCTCGCACTTGGAGCACTTGGAGTGCAGTCGGTAACCTCACATCCAGGGCCGGTGAGCTGAGAAGCGCATCCAGCGGGCCGGATGATCGGTATCGGGTTACGGGCAAGAGAGCCCTAGCCCCGGCTCGCATCCCGTCTCTTTTCCTTTCCTTTTTTCTCTACAGCACCCTCTCTTTTCCTCTCTATTTTCCCGGGAAACCTGCGTGGAAATCGTCAAATTTTGGGCTCTGAGCCGAGTCTGAGGCTGGTTTGGGCCCAAAATCAGCCAAATCGGCAAAATACCGGGTATTTTGCGGGTATACCTGGAAAACCCCGGGTATACCTGGAAAATACCCTGCGACCGCCTGGGTATCGTGCCGATCTCCTCAATTTTGCGTGAGATTTTGCCCCAGACCAGCTCTCAGACTCACAGGCAGGGAAACTCGCGAGTTTCCAGATCGGAGCACCAAATACCCTCTGTTTTCCCTGGAAATTTCCGGAAACGCAAAGTGCTGGGGATTTTGTTTGCCGGAAAACCTGGTTGAGCCCAAGAGCTGACCACAGGGTTTGCGGCGATCACTGTCCTACCAGCGGGCACAGTGGGCCGCGGACACCCGTGAATGACCTTAAGGTCCTCCGGGCCAGTTGGGGGGGGCAAACCCTGCCGCCCCCTAGAACCCCGGGTAAGGCCCAGCGCCCAGGTGTGGCCTAGGGCATTCAGAAGGGACCAAGAGGAGTCCAGTCTGAGCCATAGAGCCCATGTCTTTGCCCCCGAAGGTCGCGTTCAAATGCCCGGAACGGACGTTACAGTGGTGTCCGGCCGGCGCGATCACCGAGCTGTGACGCTCAGGGAAGCGATGTCTGGTTTCTTTGCCCAGGGCTGGCCTACGGCCATGCCCGAGGTTGGGAGGAAAAGAATGTCGTGGCGGCGCTCTGTGTGTCGGAGAGCTCTCGAGGTCTCGACGGGCAGCCTGACCCCTCCCCACCGATGTGTATTTTTCTCTGCCCGATTGCGCGGTGCCTGCAAAAAAGAGAATCTGTGTGCTGTTAGCTAGTGAGCTCATACGCCGCCAAGTGCAAAGAAAACGCTGGCGTTCGGTGTAGACGACGGATAGAGGAGTTGAAGTTCCGGAGTGAAAATTCGAACGCTATCTCTCACGGTGACCAAAAAAATGTCCACCTCAGAAACACCGCCGGAGGCAGGCCGCCGCACGCCGGCGACACAGGTTTAGCAGTGTGGCCGTGTAGCTTCCCTCGACGTCGGGCCGCGCCACCGTCTTGTCCTTGGGCGCCGAGGCGTTGTGCGCGTCCGCCTCGGCGTTGAAGGCGACGAGGACGGCCTCGGGGACGGGCTCGGCCGAGAGGCGGGTGAGCTGCCGCGCCACCGTCTTGCCCGGTGGCGCCGAGGCGTTGTACGCGTCCGCCTCGGCGTTGTAGGTCGACAGCTCGTCGATCGGTGGCGGCGGTTCGGCGCCGCCGCTGTTGCGCGGACTGTGGCACAAAAGGTCGACAGCTGTCGACAGTGGCGGCGTCGCTCTCGGCATCACGCTCACCCGCCTCCAGTGTGGGCGGCAGATAAGCCTCCTGAGCGAGGCTCGGGCCGGCGGCGCGCTCGGAGCTCTCTGAGGAGCCACTCGCCTGGCGTCGACTGCCGCAAAAGATGAAAACACGAAAATTTTGCGTGTTGAATGACTGCACTCCAAATGCTCCAAGTGCGCTCTCCTCCTTTCTAGCGATGAGGCTCGCAGGACCGCTACCAACACTCGACCCTCTCGCCGAGCGTCGTAGACTCTTGCGAGCGTCGAGGTACACTCTGAATTTCTCGCGATGTCTCGAGACACAGCTCGCACGACGCCTCGCAATATCGTCCAACCCGCAAGCTCGGCTTGGGACATTCGACAGCGAGTCCCACAAGGCGCCACTCACAAGGCGCCACTCACTCGCGCCCGCTGGGTAAGCACCTGCGGCGCGCTCACTCCACACGCATGAGCCGGTAGACACAGTGGCCGAGCCCTCCGAACTCGACCACGGCGCCCTCCGGGACGACGGTCGGCGCCGGCTTGGGGCCGTCGGCCGGTCGGCGCGGTCGACCCGGCACCCGCACGCCATTCACTGTGATGCCGTGCAGCGAGCACCTGTCCTCCGCATGGAAGCCGCCGTCGGCGATCTCCACATCCCAGTAGGCTCCCACGCGTAGCTCCGCGTGGGAGCGGCTGATGGTCGACGTCCAGTTCCACGGCACGCCCTCGATGCGGACCCCGCGGCCGACGGCGACGGGCGAGCCGTCCATCGGGATCCCGATCCGCGACGGGGCGCCCTCGCACTTGCTTTCGCGAACCAGTACCAAGAGCCCTCGCAAGGCCCGGGCCAATCGGCGAGCATCCGGGTGCCACGCGTCGTGCGTCAGGGCGAGCTGGATAC